GNCGGAGGAGGACAGACGACCCGTGGCGGTGGCGGTCTGGTTCCAGCAACATGACAGTCGGGGCAGCGGAGGGCCGGACCCGCCGCCGCCGCCGCCGCCGCCGCCGCCGCCGCACCCACTGGAAGCCCCGTCGTAACCGGTTCCAGCGGCCGCCGGGTCCCCGTCTGCCGCCGCCGCCGCCGCCGCCGCCGCCGTCATCCAGCTCCGCTCCCGCAGCGGTGCCATCCATTCGGGTTCCAACCACTTGCTTAGCACGTTCTGTAACGCCCGGTACTGCAGTACGAGAGACTGCGGAGCAGGGGAGACATAGGAGGTGGCAGTGCGCACGTGTCGTACGGATAGTGGGGGGTTTGATGCATACATGTTGTGGGGACAGAGAGCGCGCGTGCGCGTGTGTGTATCGATAGAGATTGCCGTGGGATGCCCCGGAAAGCGGTGGAGAGAGGGGGGTTGGGGTCGTTTCCGTACAAACGGGAGGTAGCCAGTGGGGGACGTGAAGTGAGTGACGGCCCTAAATGGGTACGTGGTGCTCGTCCTTTTGAGGGGGAATCAAGGGGGAAGCTACCGTACGGTGTGTCGTACCGGAAGAGGGTGAAGATGTGAGATCTGCTTGAGCGCTGCCTCGTCCGTCGAGTGGTGAGTCCGAGTGCGGCCGTTACGATCCTTGCCGGGCCCTGCTGGAAGTGGACATACGCACAGACGGACAGATATACACATAGGCTGGCAGATACATACATAAAGACAGACAAACGGATACATGCGGACCGGAGGACGGCCGGCGGGCAGGGCTGCTGCGCGGGAGGTCAGGTCAGGTCAGGGGGCTAAATGTCACAAATTGCACCCCACCCCTATCCCACCCCACCCCACCCCTACCCACCCCCAGCCGCATCCCGCTGCCCCTGCGGTACCGGCGGCGGCAGCTCCAACTCGTCGTACAACACCACCGCCAACTGGGCACTGCTCCCCAGGTTGATGGTACGACCTCCCAGCAGGGAGGAAGCGGCTGACGTCAGCGCCTCCATGCGCTGCCGTACAGCTGCCGCCTGGCGCCCCAGCCCGGCCGTGTCCACCGCCATACCCACCGCCTCCATCTGGGCGAGGAGCCAACATACCTGTTTGTGTACGGAGTGGGGTGGTAAGGGTGTTGGGTGAGGGTTTACATACATACAAACATACATAGGAGGTGCGGACACCGGGCTGATTTTATCGCGGCTTGTGGTCCTCTTCTCTTCCCTTCAGGGAAAGGTTTTGTCCTTCCTCCCCCTCCCCCTCCCTCTCCCCCTCCCCCTCCCTCTCCCCCTCCCCCTCCCCCTTCCCCCCGCCCATACCTGCATCTCCACCTGGACCGCCTGGGGTCTCAACCAGGGCTGAACTCGCACCCGCACGGACTCGAACAGGCGACCTGCCGCCAGCAAACAGCGACGGAGCCGATTCAGGGGACCCTCAACCGGTGCAGCTGCCGTCGCTGCTGCCGTACCGCTGGCGGCAGGGTCAGGAGGCGGCTGTAGCGAAATGCCGTACCTCGCACACAAGGCCTCCAGGGTGTAGCCTGATCACATGGGGAACGGAGGGGGCACAGGTGGTACTGCAGCTTGTGCGTCTGTATGTCTGTGTGTCTGTATGTATTGGGGGGAAATGGGGGGAAATGGAAATCTGGGGAGTGCGTGGCTACGTGAGGTCACGCGGGGGGATGCAAGGCTCCGGAAACATCCGATGTGTAGTACGGCACGAGTGTGGACGAGCCAGCAGGGAGGGTGCCACCCTCCCCCGCCCCCCCCGCCGTCCGGCTCCCGGGGCCCTCCCATGAGCCCGGGTCAGGCTGCTGCCTTCTCCTCTACCCACGCACACATACACATACACCCCACCCCACTTCTCACCCCCCCACACACACAACTAATCCCCCAGCCAGCCGAGAGCCCCGGGTTTCCTTATTCCCCCGAAATTTGGAAGTTGCCAGATGACATTTC